GAATAGATTCAGGATCATATCTTGGTTCTTGTGCACTGATTTTCATTTTCTTCTGCCTCAATTTGAACTAGCATATGAGTAATTGATGCTGTGACCCACAGTCCACCCCTGGCCTAGTTTTGACTGCCTATATTGAGCTTCGGCAATGATTTCTTCCACAGATGTAGTCAGTCTGATTCCTGTGCAACCCATCCACTGAGGTCCATGTATAAAGTCATTGTTTGTGTCTTTTAAAAATGGTATTTGCAATGAATAAGTCATTGAAAATACAAAATCTGATCTTTCTATTCCCAGCCTCATTTCGATCACCAGGCCGTTATTTTCCAACTACCATTCCTTCTTCACTATTTTCAGTTTTCACATTCAGGTCACCAGTTATCATTAACACATCCTGTTTACATGTTAGTCAATTTCAGACTGCAGCATTTGGCAAAAATTTTAGATTTCTTCCTCTTTGGTTCTAGATGTAGGAGCATAAATTTGAATAATAGCTGTATTAACTGGCCTTTCTTGTATGTATATAGATTATATCCTCTTCTTCACAACATTGTATTTCAGAGTAGAACTTGACATTGACTTTTTGACTATAAATACAAATCATTCTTCTGTTTTTCATTCCAGCAGTGTCCATATGATTAGCTTATCTAAAGGGCCAGAGCTAGTCTATCTCATCTCACTAATGCCTAGATTGTCGATGTTGATGCATTCCATTTCATTTTTCAAGTTTTCTAGTTTTTCAACATTCAAGCTATGTACATTCCATGTTCCAATTTGCAAGTTATGTTTTCTATTATTTTTCCCCATTTTGACTGATTTCCAATCTGGTCTTTACCACTATTTCTATAAATATTCGTGTTCTCCTACTGTTCAAAGGGTTTTCAGAGGCCTGTTATTTAAAGAAGTGGCTGGCTTAACTTGCTTCCTAGTCTGTCTTAGTGTATACTGTGACACAGTTTTGTTAGCAGCTCAAAATGTAACCCATCAAAGCACTATGGCTCAGACATGATTCTAATACAATGTGCCCCCACTACCTAGTAAATAGCTCGAACAATGATTCAGCAATGCAGGTTCTTCTCATCTTGTCATCCTATGAATCCTAACTCAGGCCTTCATCCTGCTAACAGAAGGAAGAGAAAGAGAATGTGAAAGAGACATCATTTTGTAAATGTTGGTTTACACGTGTTACAGAGCCTTTCTGCACAGATTCTAGGGGTGAGGATTTGCTGATTGGCAGACCCTAACAAGAGATTCTGGGAAGTGGGGTAAAACTGTGTGCTTAAAAAAAGGAAATGGGTTTGGTGAAAACATTGGAGTCTCTGCACAGTCTACTTTCTAGCTATCCTGTATTCAACCATACTTCTCCTACCAACTAAAGGATACAATCAGAGTCCTCCAGAGGGGATACCGCTCATGTCTCCCCTCCAGGTCCTGCCTCTTGCTCCAGATGATGCTCTAAGGTCAGGTCCAAGTTCCATGGGATGTGATAAACCTTTGAATAGTCACATTATCTGCTACATGGCATAGTACACACACACACCTCAAGTACACAATGATAAAACTGAACCAGAATACCTGCTATGAACTCAAGTACACAATGATAAAATTGAACCAATTAAAACTGCTATTTATAAAAGAAACCAATGGGAAAAATGCACCATCCTCTGGTTCATTACAGTGATAAATTCATACTCAGATACTGTTTTTTAAAGAATATGATTTCTCAAGTGGACACTGTCCATTCCAGAAAGAAACCATTTAGCCATTATCCTTTTGAAAAATTCTTTTTAGTGCATCATACTCTATTGACCTCATATCAAACAGCCCACTGGGAGTGTAATACCCTACTTGCAGGCTACATGGTATTCATGACTTCCTACTCATATGAGTTTGGAGAGCTAAATATTGCTTTAAGACAAATGATCAAAAGGTTTTAAACTGGGCTCAAGATTTGACAATACAATTTCCACTAATATTTAATACATTTTTACTAGTTGATATATACGCAATTAAACTTAACTGTATTTTACAATATAATTGCCTCTGATATTTAATACATTTTTATCAGTTGATATATAAGCAATTATCCTTCAATACAGATTGTATTTTAATGCCAAGAAGACAAAGATTCTTACCACTGGACCTATAGGCAACATCGTGATAGATGGAGAAAAGACTGAATCTATCAACAACTTCATCTTAGTTGGATCCACATTTAACACCCTTGGACCAGCAGTCAGGAAATCAGGGGACATATTGCACTAGGAAAGTCTGCAGTTCGGGACCTCTCGAAATTAGTGAGGAGTAATAATGCCACTTTGAGGAGTAAGGTGTGTCTGGTTCAGGCCTTGAGAGCTTGACAATGAATAAGGATGACAGAAGAAGAATTGATGCCTATAAGTTGTATTGGATAAGAACACTTGCCATCCTTTTGGCCATGGACTGCCAAAAGAACAAACAAGTATATCTTGGAGAAGGTGCAGCCAGAGTGCTCTTTGGAGGCAAAGATGATGAGACTTTGATGCATATACATCAGGCATGTTGCTAGAAGGTGCTATTCCTTGGAGAGGATATGATGTTCGGGAAGGTAGAGGGTCAGCAAAGAAGAGGAAGACCCTCAACCAGGTGGATTGAGACAGTGACTGCTGCCGTGGGCTCTAATATGTCTGTAAGTGTGAAGACTACACAGGATAGGACAGGGGTCAGATTTGCTGTTCTTAGGGTTGCTATAGGTCGTACTTGAAGTCAACTAACAAGAAGAATATAAGCAGTAACCATATCCAGTGTTATTTTGCAGACATAGATCTCAATTCTAATTTTTCTTACTTTTAACCCATGAGTATAAGCCTTCTGTCTTGACATACATCACTGTATAGGCAGAACCCAGGACCTTCTTTTACCTAGCACAAAGTGGTAACATTTATTAAATACATATAATGTATCTTAACTGAACTCATTGCCACTGAGTCAGAACTGATGCATAGTTCGGTCTCTGAGGCTGTAAATTGGTAATGATCGCCCCTCTTTCTAACACTGAGTCACTAGTGGGTTTGAACTGCTGGACAGGTTAGCAACACCACCTCACAAAGTCATTGATGTTCAACACACTAGTTACTTAACTGATGTGAGAAATCCAATGGGATAGGAGCCAGTAGTCTAGAATTTTCATTTGAGTCTAGCTCTAACACTAGATGCTTAACTGGGAAATATTGTCCAAGATTTTTTTATCTTATTCTAAATGGTCCTTACTTTGTTCTTCTGCAATTTTATGATTCATTGTCAAAACTTATTTGGCACTTTTATGACTCACTCCCTATCCTTGAAAAGAAAAGGATTAGTCTTGAAATAAAAAATTCCTGAGAACTTATCAGAGGCTCTTCATGAATATCTTTAAACTATACCACAAAACTATAATGGAAACAGGATTCGTTATAGGAAGTACTTGGCATCCAACCTAATATGACCTGTTAAACACAGGCCCCATTTAATACTGCAATATTTTTAGCAAGACCTTTGTAATTGTTAATGTAACTTTGGAAATACATCAGTGAACACAAACTTTTTTGAAATTGGGATTTTTATAATGTGTCTTAAATTACATTTGGGCAAAATATTCAAGGAAGTATTTTGAAAATCACAAAATGTCCAAAAAGGAGTCAGAGCTGTGCAACTATAAACTTCTTTTTAAAAGATAGTGAATAATTCTGAGGCATTGATTGGAAGCTTGGCTGCACACTGTAATACATTTAGGGGAGTTTTTAAAATGGCAATGTCACTAGGAATGAACCCTAAATAAACCAGAGCCATGACTTAAACAGATATGTACACACCCATATTTATTACTGTATTTTATTACCATGTCTATTACTGTAGTGAAGATTTGGAACCAGCCCAACTGCATATCAACAAATAAAAGGATAGAAAAACTGTGGTACATTCACACAATGGAATATTATGTAGCACTGAAAAACAATAGACTTGTGAAAACATTACACAACATGGGTGAGCCTGGAAGACATTATGCTGAGAAATCTCTCAGTTACAAATGAACATATATTCCATAATACCACTGCTATAAAATAGGTCTGGCAAAAGATGGGGGCCAAGGGAGAACAGGAAAAGAGTGGCAAGATAATAAACACTTCACTGGAACAGAAAAGGAGAAGACTGTCTGAAGGGAATGTGTGATTAGGCATTTTATGTATGATAATTAACAATCTGCAACAAGAGGTGCATTATAAAGTGGACTAGGGGCAGGGGAGGGAGGAAAATGTGCACCAATGAGTGAAAGAAACCCCACCCTTTCTGTAAACTTTTGTCACAATCACAATTTTTAAAAAAATCTCAGTGTCTGAGCCCACTCTCAGAGATTCTAATATGGACCCGCTTGTGGTTTGAGAACCTTCCCAGTGGTAACTGAGCTGTATCGGAAACCAATACCCTCTTTCGGCTTCTGTTACGAAAAACCTCAAACCTATTGCCGTTAAGTCAGAACCAACTCCTAGCCAACCCCCCAGCAGGCTTCCATGGCCTAAATACCATGAGAGGAGATTGCCCATCTTTCTCTCTCAGCAGCTGCTGGATTCAAATTGCCCACGTTTGGGTTAGCGGTACAACTCCCTACTGACTAAGCCACCGGAATTAAGATTACTAATCCCATAGTTGATGGGTTTCAGAGGTTATAAAAGGCACAGGAAGCGATTCCCCAGCTTTCTCCCTCCGAACAGCTGGTGCATCCAGACTGCCCGATTTGGGGTTGATGATACAGCTCTCCACCCAATAGGCCACCAGAACTCCCTCTGTCACTAGAGGCAAAAAAAGTGGCCCAACCTATATTACTGCACTATAGAAATTAATGACTCGGGAAAGGCATGGTTTTCATTGGTGTGATTTTAAAGGGAGAACTGTTTGTCTCTGCGGAGCGTTGGCATGGTCGGTAGAGGCGGTGGCTCGGGCGAGGCTCTGTGACCACAATCACAGTAACACTGGCCCCTTCTCGGCAGCACATAATGCTTGTGCAGCGGCAGATGTCCGTGATAGAAGAGGACCTGGAGGAATTCCAGCTGGCCCTGAAGCACTACGTGGAGAGCGCCTCCTCCCAAAGTGGGTGCCTGCGGTAAGTGCCCCTGCACCCCAGCTTTGCTGGGCGACGTGTGGGGAAAGCGTCCTGCCTAAGGGTGAGAGCTGGAACCGGGACGTTTAAGAATGCTCACGGTAAATGACACTGGTCAATCCAGCCCTCAGGGTTAGGCAGTTGGCAGAGTTTGGCTGGATGTCAATTTCATGATTAGGACCATGGAGCAAAATAAAATGGAGAGAACAATTTGAATGGGAAGAGGAGTTGCAGACCGATTAAAATTCCCATTTGGCATCCGGGCAGGCCCACAGGCTGATTTAAAATCATCTCTGGTAGACACGGCTGACTCCACGCCTGCCCTCTGATTACTCCCTTGGCAGGCGGCCCTGTGGCATAATAACCATTTCCAGCATTAGCAGCTTGCACAGATCTCTGAAGTCATGATTTCAGAGCTTTGAACATAAAAGAAAAAATATCCACAGCTTCAGGTTCTCCCTCTCCATGGCCACCTCAGGCTGGCTGTGGCTCCTGTCATCTCAGGTGCAAAAATCCTAGCCTTCAGATTCTTTATTCCACCCCTCCTCATAAACAGCTGCTGGGGAAATAGTCCAGAAATAATTATCAAAGAATTCAATTAGTTAAGAACCTTCAGTAGCTCTCTAAATATCTCACCATGTGCTAGATACACAAACGGTTCTTTCCTATAAAAAAATAAGTATCTTAAGTATTTTATCAGGTGCTATCTGGATGGTGAAATCCTGAACAACTAGACAGAGGTTTGGCAGTTCAAACTCACCCACAAGGTACCTCAGAAGGAAAGGCCTGGAGACCTGCTTCTGAAAGGTGACAGCCTGGAAATGCACAGAGAACGGTACTGCTTGACACTCATCAGGTTGTTATGACATGACAAGAGCTCACATTTACCCCACCAGAACTCACCTCTGTTCAATGTGCTAGCAAGTCAATTCTGACTCCTCGCAACCTGCCATGCAGCTTGGAGGGCTGTAAATAGTAATAGGAGGGCACTGTCCATCTTTGTCCTGATGAATTCAAACTGGTGGAGAGGCTGGGTCTTTTGGTTAGCAGGACACTATGCCAGAGACTCTACCACCAGAAGCTCTGTGTTCTACCACATTGTTGTTGTTATGTGCCATGGAGTTCGAGATTGCTCTCCTTCAGGTTTTCAGAAACTCATAGCTGGTACTCAGAAACTCGCAGCCGGCCCTCCTTCAGGTTTTCAGAAACTCACAGCCGGCCCTCCTTCGGGTTTTCAGAAACTCGCAGCCGGCCCTCCCTCGGGTTTTCAGAAACTCGCAGCCGGCCCTCCCTCGGGTTTTCAGAAACTCACAGCCAGCCCTCCCTTGGGTTTTCAGAGGGTGTACATCACACAGGAGGAGACTGATTGCCATCCTTCTCCTGAGGCTCAAGCTGGTGGACTGAAACTGCCCACTTTCAGGTTGGAAGCACAGTACCTTATGCACTAGGTCACCACAGCTCCCTGTCCTACTAAGAGATCTTGGAAACCTATATCATCTGTTATTATGTGTTCTTTATCATCTGAACACTCCACCCCAGCTTTGCACAGCTGCTGATCTGTTAATCCCAACCATAGTGCTTTAGACCTGGCTAGTGAGTCCCTCTCCCCAGAGAGCTCTGGTGGAATAATCCATAGGAAGTGGTACTGAAAACTCCAACAGTTCAATTCCACCATTGGGTCTGAGGGTGAACGGAGAGAAGTTTCTTCCCATTAAGCTATACAACCTCAGAAACCTGATGGAGGGGCACTGTGGGGATCATTGCAACAGCATTGAGCTGTGGGAGTCTCTCAGAAATGTTCACTGAGTTGCCACAGCCCATGCCCTGTCCCCCATCCAAAGCACAGCTTCAAACTCACCTGCTTCTAGAAAATGTCACCAACTCCACCCAAGCTTGTGCACTTGTTTAAACTGCCTTTCACAATACTGTACAAACATTGTTTTTATAAAGTGGCTTATTATGGGGGTGTGTATGTATAAACGTGTATTTTGCGTCTCTCATCCTTCCAGTAATTCATTTCAGTTTATTTATACTTCAGCAGAATGCCTCCCTAGCTGGGAAATCTGGTGAGAATGAGGCATGAGATTTTTGCTAGTTTTGTGGCTTTGGGAGAAGCTTTTCCCAGCCCCAAGCCTCAGTCTCCTCCTCAGGAGCCTCATCAGGTGAAGTCACGATGAATGGGAACAACCTGTGAGAAGTGTTTTGTGCAGACCCTCATGTCCCCCTCTGCTCCTCCAGGTGAAGTGGGCAACTGTGGTGTGTGGACTCTGCCCCCCGCCCCCGAGCCTCAGGACCTGCTGAGAGCCAGCAATGCCCAGAGCTCCTGCACTTCCCTGCAATATCCGTGTAGCAGAAAAACTGGAAATCTGTGTTCCCATTGTTTATGATTTCACACCAGACTCAGAACAACGCAAATCTAATCAGTATTTTCGTTCTTTTTGGTTCAGTGACTCAAAAGAAAATGGGGAGTAGCACTTATTTTTCCAAAGTGAGGATTGTTGTGGTTGTTGTTGTGTACTATCAAGTCAGAACCAACACATAGCTGACCCTCCAGCGGGTTTTAAGAAGCAGTTAATCAAGCGGGAGAAGATTGCCCCTCTTTTTCCCACAGACCAGCTGTTGGATTAGAACTGCATGCCCTTGGGATTGCAGCACAGCTTCTTGCCACTAGGCCAGCAGAGCTGTGTGTGTGTGTGTGTGTGTGTGTGTGTG